CAGTTGCTAGGGTACCAGAGGTGGTTGCTAAAGTGTTGTTATGCGTTTTCTAGGGTACCCGGGGCGGTTGCTGAGGTGTTGCTATGCGGTTGCTAAGGTACTGGGGTGGTTGCTAGGGTGTTGCAATGCGGTTGCTAGGGTACCCGGAGCGATTACTAATGTGTTGCTAGGGTGTTGCTTTGTGCTTGCTAGGGTTCTCAAGGCGGTTGCTAAGGTGTTGCTATGCAGTTGCTAAGGTACTTGGGTGGTTGCTAGGGTGTTGCTGTGCAGTTGCTAAGGTACCCGGTATGGTTTCTAAGGTGTTGCTATGCAGTTGTTAGAGTAATAGCGGTGGTTGCTAGGGTATCCGGGGTGGTTGTTAAGGTGTTACTATGCGGCTGCTGCGGTACCCGGGGTGTTTGCTATGCGGATGCTAGGGTACCCGGGAAGTTTGCTGATGTTGCTATGCGGTTGCTAGGCTACCAGAGGTGGTTGCTAAAATGTTGCTATGCGTTTGCTAGGTTACCCGGGGCGGTTGCTAAGGTGTTGCTATGCGGTTGCTAGGCACCCAGATCAGTTGCTAGGGTGCTGCTATGCGGTTGCTTGAGTTCCTGGGATGGTTGCTAGGGTGTTGCTTTGCGGTTTCTAGGTTACCCGGGGTGGCTACTAAGTTGTTGCTATGTGGTAGCTAGGGTACCCGAGGCGGTTGCAAAGGTATTGCTATGTGGTTGCTAGGCTGTTGGCATGCAGTTGCTAAGGTACTCGGGGTTGTTGGTAGGGTTTTGCTATGCGGTTGCTAGGGTAACCGGGGCGGTTGCTAAGGTGTTGCTATGCAGTTGCTAGGGAGTTGCATAGCGGTTGCTAAGGTACTCGTGATGGTTGCTAGGGTGTTGCTATGTCGTTGCTAGGGTACCCGAGGTGGCTACTAAGGTGTTGCTATGTGGTTGCTAGGGTACCAAGGTCGGTCGTTATGGTACTCGCGGTGGTTGATATGTGGTTGTTAGGGTACCATGGGCGGTTGCTAATGTTTTGCTATTCGGTTGCTAAGGTACTGGGGTGGTTGCTAGGGTGTTGCTATGCGGTTGCTAGGGTACCTGGAGCGATTGCTAAGGTGTTGCTAGGGTGTTGCTTTGTGGTTGCTAGGGTTCTCAAGGCGGTTGCTAATGTGTTGCTATGCAGTTGCTAAGGTACTTGGGTGGTTGCTAGGGTGTTTCAATGCAGTTGCTAAGGTACCCGGTATGGTTGCTAAGGTGTTGCTATGCAGTTCTTAGGGTAATAGGGGTGGTTGCTAGGGTACCCGGGGTGGTTGCTAAGGTGTTACTATGCGGTTGCTGGGGTACCCGGGGTGTTTGCTATGCGTTTGCTAGGGTACCCGGGAAGTTTGCTGATGTTGCTATGCGGTTGCTAGGGTACCAGAGGTGGTTGCTAAAATGTTGCTATGCGTTTGCTAGGGTACCCGAGGCGGTTGCTAAGATGTTGCTATGCGGTTGCTAGGCACCCAGATCAGTTGCTAGGGTGCTGCTATGCGGTTGCTTGGGTTCCCGGGATGGTTGCTAGGGTGTTTCTTTGCGGTTGCTAGGGTACCCGGGGTGGCTACTAAGTTGTTGCTATGCGGTAGCTAGGGTACCCGAGGTGGCTACTAAGGTGTTGCTATGCGGTTGCTAGGGTACCCGGGGCAGTTGGTTGCTATGTGGTTGATAATGTATTCAGGGTGGTTTTAGGGCTGTTGCTATGCGGTTGCTAGGGTACCCGGGGTGGCTACTAAGTTGTTGCTATGCGGTAGCTAGGGTACCCGAGGTGGCTACTAAGGTGTTGCTATGCAGTTGCTAGGGAGTTGCATAGCGGTTGCTAAGGTACTCGTGATGGTTGCTAGGGTGTTGCTATGTCGTTGCTAGGGTACCCGAGGTGGCTACTAAGGTGTTGCTATGTGGTTGCTAGGGTACCAAGGTCGGTCGCTATGGTACTCGCGGTGTTTGATATGTGGTTGCTAGGGTACCATGGGCGGTTGCTAATGTTTTGCTATTCGGTTGCGAAGATACTGGGGTGGTTGCTAGGGTGTTGCTATGCGGTTGCTAGGGTACCTGGAGCGATTGCTAAGGTGTTGCTAGGGTGTTGCTTTGTGGTTGCTAGGTTACTCTGGCTGGTTGAAATGCGGTTGCTAGGTTACCCGGGGCGGTTGCTAAGGTGTTGCTATGCGGTTGCTAGGGTACCAGGGCTGGTTGCTAAGCGCATGCTAGGGTGCCCGGGGTGGTTGCTAATGTGTTGCTTTGCGGTTGCTAGGGTACCTGGGGTGGTTGCCAAGGTGTTCTGGGTGGTTGCCAAGGTGTTGCTATAAGGTTGCTAATGTACTTGGGGTTGTTGCTTTGCGGTTGCTAGGGCACCCGGGGCAGTCGCAAAGAAGTTGCTATGCGGTTGCTAGGGTACTCGGGGTGGCTGCTAAGTTGTTGCTATATGGTTGCTAGGGTACCCGGGTTAGTTGCTTGGGTGTTGCTATATGGTTGCTAGGGTACCTAGTGCAGTTGCTAGGGTGTTGCTGTGCAGTTGCTAGGGTACCCGGGGCGATTGCCAGGGTGTTGCTATGCGGTTGATAAGGTATTCAGGGTGGTTGCTATGGTGTTGCTATGAGGTTGCTAAGGTACCTGGGGTGGTTGTTAAGGTGATGCTATGGGGTTGCTAAGGTATTCAGGGTGGTTTCTATGGTGTTGCTGTGCAGTTCTTAGGGTACCTGGGGTGGTTGTTAGGGTGTTGCTATGCGGCTGCTAGGGTAGCCGGGATACTTGTTAGGATGTTGCTATTCGGTTGCTAGGGTACCCGGGGTGGTTGCTAAAGTGTTGCTATACGATTGCTAGGGTACCCGGAGCCGTTGCTAAGGTGTTGCTATGCAGTTGCTTGGGTGTTGCTATGTGGTAGCTAGGGTACGCAAGGCGGGTGTTAAGGTATTTGAGGTGGTTGATATGCGGTTTCTAGGTTACCCGGTGCGGTTGCTAAGGTGTTGCTATGCGGTTGCTAAGTTCCTAGGGTGGTTGCTAGGGTGTTGTTATGCGGTTGCTAGGATTCCCAGAGCGGTTGCTAAGGTGTTGCTATGCAGTTGCTAGGGTGTTGCTAAGTGGTTGCTAAGGTGTTGATATTTGGTAGCTATGCGGTTGCTAAGGTATTCTGGGTTTTTGCTATGGTGTTGCTATGCTCTTGCTATGGTAGCCAGGGTGGTTGCTAAGGTGTTGCTATGTGGTTGCTAGGTTACCTGGGGTGGTTGGTGTTGCTATGCGTTTGCTAAGGTATTCAGGGTGGTGGCTATGCGGTTTCTGTGGTACCCGGGGTGGTTGCTATGCGGTTGCTAGGGTACCCGGGAAGGTTGCTATTGTTGCTATGCGTTTGATAGGGTACCTAGGGTAACCGGGGCGGTTGCTAAGGTGTTGCTATGCGGTTGCTAGGGTACCCGGGAAGGTTGCTATTGTTGCTATGCGTTTGATAGGGTACCCGGAGTTGTTGCTAAGTTGTTGCTATGAATTTACTAGGGTACCCGGGGCAGTTGTTAATGTGTTGCTATGCGGTTGCTAGGCACCAAGAGCAGTTGCTAGGGTGCTGCTATGCGGATGCTAGGGTATCCGGGGCGGTTGCTAAGGTCTTGCCTTGAGGTTGCTAGGGTGTTGCTATGCGGTTGCTAAGGTACTGGGGTGGTTGCTAAGGTGTTGCTATGC